CCAGTGCTGGTGGCTGTGGTTTGCTGCGCCCAGAGGTAGGGTCGCGGGCGGGTTGACGGGAAGCGGGCCGGGCGGCGGGCAGGGCGCACGGTGTGCGCGCCGGGCGCTGGCGAGTGAGCCACCGCCTGACCCTGCTTTCTGTGCCTCCCTCCTTTTCCCCCCAGCGTGAACGATCCCGGGAACATGTCCTTTGTGAAGGAGACGGTGGACAAGCTGTTGAAAGGCTACGACATTCGCCTAAGACCCGACTTTGGGGGTAAGTGGGATGCGCGCTGTTGTTGCGGGAAGCGCAACCCACCGCGTTGGCGGCCTGGGTAGAAGAGAGAGGCGGGGGCTGCATCCGCTAAGCTGCAGCGGAGTGGGGAGGGGTGGGTTGTATTTCATCTGCGCCCCCTCCCGGGATAGTCCCCCATTCTCAGAGCCGCCCGCACCCCTTACCGGAGCCTGGCTGATCACCGTGTGGTGCGCTTCCCGCAGGTCCCCCAGTCTGCGTGGGGATGAACATCGACATCGCCAGCATCGACATGGTTTCTGAAGTCAACATGGTGAGTGCCTGCCCTTCCCAAGGCTGTCTCTGAGGTCCTACCCTGCTGTCTGGGCCCACTGGCATCCACAGTGCTGGGCCAGAGGCCTCCGGAACCCGGCGGAGTTTCCTGGGCCCGGGAAGGGAGCCGCGCTCCTGGGAGCGGGCCTTTTGCTAACCCGGCTTCCTCCACATGCTGAGTGTGTATGGGGGTGTTGCAGGCGTTGGAACCTTGCGGAGGGCGCACCCTGCCTGCAGAAGGGGTCCCGGGCTGGCCTAGAGCCCTGCTCTCACAGCCGCCCTCGTGCTCAGAGCTCCTCCAGCGGGCTGTCACCTGGTCGCTAGGCTTGCCTAGTGCCGTCTAGCCTCCTTAGCAACAGGCGCTGGGGAACCGGGGAGTGAGGGGAGATGTGGGGGTGGCTCGTATATTCTAGGTAAGAGGTACTTAAGGTTTCCTTTGTTGTCATTTGGCAAGAAATACTGGTAGCTTGAGAGGAGGGGGGGGGAGGTGTGTGGAGGGGTGGCTTGTGTATACTAGGTGTGACTCAGGTCAGTTCATTGGTCTCAGCTTCTTTCCTAAGTTAGGCAGGCTTCTGAATCCTGAGAACCTTGCCTTCAGCTCTGCCGGTCGCTGTCCAGGGTGCTGACGGAGCCCTGCCTACCCAGAGAAGTAAAGGGCCCGAGCTGCAGGCCTTCTCTAGAAAGGGGCAGCTCTGCCAGGAGAGTCCAAGGCTAGTGTTCTGTGTGTCACTTAGGGCTTATGTGAATGCTGGCAGGATTCATTATTCTGACCTGTGGAAAGCAGAGGTCAGTATTCTGAGGTGCAGAGAGTGTGTCAGAGACTTTTGCCCACAAAGCTTTTTAGGGCACCAGGGAATGATGAGATAAATGACCCCTTCCATTTGTTACTTGAGCTGAAATGAGATTTGAAAACAGGTTTGATTTTTGTGCTGAGTGGAACTTTAGAAATCCTAAGAATAAGCATTTGGAGAAAAAAAATGGAAGAAACCATTGACAACTTTTCTTTTGAACATACAACACTGAGAATATGAGGCATGGTTTTAGAGAATATGAGGCATAGGTTTCTCAACTCTGATGTACAGTCAATATCACTTGGGGGCAAACTTGTTTTTAAATGCATGCTCTCTGTTTCTTCACTCCAAGGGATTATGATCTAGCTGGGCCAAAGTGGAGTTTTCAGGTCCCAGCATTTAAAACTGGTGCTTTAGATTATTTTGAAGCTGGTATTTCATGCACAGAATTTTGAGAAATATTGCAATAAGTTATAAAAATATGAACGCATTAAAATAAACTAAAGGTGTTATTTTATATGGACTTTAATGAAATGTATTTTAAAATATACACAACTGAGGATTTCACAGGATGAAGTTTTTGACTACATTAAAATATTTTCATCACATTTTCACTTTTAATCTGAATTTGAAACAAAATATAGTGTGAGGGGCTTGGAATGTAGCTCCGTCGCAGAGCACTTGCCTAGTATGAACAAGGTCCTGAGTTCCATCTCCAGCATTGAAAAAAAGAAAAAAGAAAAAGTTTGTTTTGTAAAGTATACCACTTAGGACATTTATATATGAAGGCAGTATAAGTATTAGCAAAACACATGGAAAGAATGTTGCTAACTTTCATTAAAATTTAACATTATGTATATTTCACTCATTGATAATTTTATGAAAATAATTCTGCTCAAAAGACATGCTTTATTATCCTAAGGGAACAAATTTTTTATATTTAAGATTCAGTCTCTTAAAACTGGTTTTCTTAATTAGGGACATCAAATTCTCTAGAGAAGAAAATTTAACACAATAGTTAATGGATATTTACTGGATTTTTCTATCAAAAATTATTATATTGAATGTGATGGAAGAGAAAACGTATTGAGTGACTCTTTAAGAACCCTATACAATATTAAAACAACCAGAAGAATATCGGGAATATATTATTGCAGACCATTACACATTCTGTGTTACTTTTAAACTTAGATATCTATTTGCTCTGGTGTTGTGCTGATAGTTGATACATTTAAAAACTTTATTATTTTTGCCTTAATTTATGTTCCATGAATCAATGTGTTCCGATTTTCTATGGGCTCAATAATTTAAAGACAAATTGAACATATAGGCCATGATACTGAATAGTCTTTAAGTATATATCCTATAGCAATCACAATGCATAGCATAGCTGTGGTATTCTTGCATTCATTTTTTTCTCTTGCATTCTCATGGTAGTATTCTTTTTTCTGTCTCTGTAAACATAAAATAATTGTAGACAAAAATTGAGGATTAATGGGATTGGATACTGTAGGCTTTTGGAAAGATGTGACTGAAAGCCATTTGAAATGTGTTCTTCCTACAAGAAGCAGATTAATCAAGACCAAGCTGTAGAAAATTCTGATTTTCCTTAATATATTTGTGTCTGATAATGGCTGTTATTTAACCTATTATTACAGGAACTTCAAAGGTAGCAATTGTTGAGTGTTACTTTGGGAGTCACATTTTATAGGGAAAGGACAGAATATTTGAGTGTAAGATTAGAACTACCACTCAATCACAGTTCTTTGAAAACAAATTGTTTTATTAGGTTTTATAATTACACTAGTCATTACAAAAATTGTTATAAGTATGGATAAAGAAATGGTCACTAAATAAGATATGATTTTCCTTTAAGGGTTTTGTAACAGAAGTAGGATATGAGAAATCCCATTCTATTAGAAGAACAGATGAAAGTAGCGCGCGCGAGAGAGAGAGAGAAAGAGAGAGAGAGAGAGAGAGAGAGAGAGAAAGAGAGAGAGAGAGAGAGAGAGAGAGAGAGAGAGAGAAAGAGGGAACTTGGAGGAGAGAAGTCTTGGGAGAAGTTATTTTGATGTAGAAATCTTTATGAAACAAAGTATATTTAAATTGGATGAGGGAGATGAATAGCATTCTGAGATTGTCATAGGAGGAGGAAAGAAAACGGTAAAGATATAGATGGATGAATGGGCAGGATCAAACTCTGAATGGGATAATTAAGAGAAGCAATGGGGAAAATACGACAGACCTATGTACACCTGAGCCTTTCTCCATGATGCAGAAGAATTCAGGTGATAATTTTTGGAAAATAAGAAGAATACAAATGGTAAACTTTCTTAAGCAGTGATTGATAGAATTTGGGACGTGCTTTTTAAGATGAATGTTTTGGCCAACATGTAAATTTAGACAGAGGAGTAACAATGGCAAAATTTTTAAAAAATTATGGATAAATGATCATGGAAGTGATACTGGGGATCAAATTGAGAGCCTCCTGCCTTCTAGGCAAGTGCTGTACCATTGAGTGACATCTCCAAACCCCATAAATAATTTTTTGAGAATCCTTTATAATGAAATTTTTAAAAATTCACAGGTTTCAAATAAAGAAACTGAAAAGCATGTGTATTTCAAACAGGAGAAATATGCATAAGCTTGTTCTTGAGATTTTGGGGGGTGACTGCAAAGAAGGACAACAAATTTTGCACAGTAGTAATAGTGCTGCTTTTTTCTTTAAATAACTATAATATGCATTCTTTCTAGTAGTGCCTGCAGATGATGCCTCTCATCTTAAATAACAAATAGGTAAATTATATATGTGCATATTCATCATTCATTTGGTATTTTGTAAAAACAATGTAAGAATGGATTTGAATATTTTAGTATACAGCATTGGTTTTGCCATAGCTTGTTTCGTGGATAGTGGACGTATTTCACATTTCCATGTTTTCCCAAATCTTACAATTCTCCTTTTCATGCTCTTCTTTTTAATTAGCTGACCTAACAATGATCAAAAACCATTTTGTTTTACATAACCTATCTTGTTTCTCTTAGTGAGTGCCTATTTGAAAATTTCTGGTAATCTTTTAAAATTATGCATGGTTATATAATTATTGAGATTTAGACCATAGATTTTAAGTGAAATTGTGTATGTGCAAGTACATTGTCTCCTGAAAATTACTGTATATTCCTGTTGTAATTTTGATGCTTAGCAGTTGTCCTAGTGTATAAGAAACACGTGTTGGATATACAGATGGAAAGATGAACCAGTGTATGAAGATTATTGAAAAATATAGGATACATAAGGAAATATTGAAAAACAAAACAGAAAAACTTAAACATGATATTTTAAAATGAATTCTTTGTTATTTATTAGAATGAATCATTGATTTGTTAATTCAGAGCAGAAGCTACATGTACTTACTTTTTGCTTCATTAAGTATAAAGCATTGGGGACATAAAACTAGATTTAAACTCTAGTAATATTAATTCTAATTTCTATGATTTAACTAGCACTTTGTTATTACTTATATTTAATTACTCCATTAAAATTTACTCAATTCTAATGAAAATGTAACTACAGGATTATTTTTTCCTGATTTCATGCACATAAATTATAAATTGCCATCCATTTTTTAAAATTAGCATTCCTTTAAGCAACAACTAATGTGTATGTTTAGTTATTATGAGCTGTATTCGTCTATTATGCTAGTTCTATTGTATTCATTTTTCACTTGTTGCATATTCTTCTCATAAAATCCACATTTTTATGTGAGGTGTGAAAAAAGTGGCACATAAGAGCATAGTTTTAGCACATTTTTGAAATGTTACTTTTTGAAAATAACTTTGGAGTACATCATTGAATAGATACGGTCTACTCATGTACAAAATCGTATACACCTGGGCCGGTGTATGCATTTATGCTGTCATTTTATGTCTTTGTCCTTTTTTGAAGGGAGGAAAACTCAGAGAGCGGTTCTTGACTACAGTAAGCTAGGATCAGAGATTTGGAGAATTCATCTTTTAGGCATTTTTTTTTTTTTTTACTAAATTTGCATGAATGAACCTCTCCTTTCCCAGTTCAAAATCTAGAGGTTTCTTTGCCATTGGTGAATGCGCGAATGAGAGCCCATCCTGTCCAGCACCTACCCAGGTTCTCAGGCAGGAGGTGCTGAATCTCAGCACCAGGTGGTGTACTTAAGAAAATAGTCCAGGACTAGAATTATGGGTTCTGTTTCCAAGTCTATGGCAATGTTTAGCCTTAGGCAGGTAACTTAATCATCAGTAATTCCACTGCAGGCTCCCAATCACTCATGGCATGTGTGCAGATATTAAAGCCCTACCACAAAGGGATTAGCTCTACAGAGAAAATCACAGTAAAGACAGCAACAGGATCCTACTTTAGAAAGTCTTCCTTCACTGATTTCTTCCATAGAGATATGGACATTTTCAGAGTTTGCATATGAATTGTTATTAGCAATTTAAAAGAAGGAAATGTGCTTATCCTTTTATTATAAAGCAAGCTGGGGGATGACTCAGCAGAAAGGAAGAACATTTTGCTGACCCAGTTGGGGGTTGGAAAACTGCTTACATGGAAGGTGCTCCTGGGGTAAGGTCCATAGTGTGTGTGT